GCAGCAAATACACGATAAGGCTGTTGTTTGTAGGTGAAGACAAATTGTTTTGAAGACTATAGAGACTTTCTGGGTGCACATACAACAATCATGAACACCTGCAACAACAGTCTCCATTGTTTTATTCATGAATGACCGATTCCATCCTCTTTCTCCAGTTTTCTTACATTTACAAAGGATCAGTTTACATTATAGCTTTCTGTCAAACATCTCCCTATATTATATTAATAAGAGGTTTGTCCTAATGAAAAAATAATGAATCCAAGGAAAAGGCCAGAATCTTATTAAAGATTTGAGCATCTGTAACTCCTGACTACTACTTAATTGCTTATATTTCTATAAACAAAGAACCACGGAATTACAAGATTCTCATAGGTCAATTGCTAAAGGAATCATCATTCCATTGGCACATTGTCAAGTACAAAAGAGAGAAGGATTATTATTACTTTTATACCACTTTTGGTAAATAAAAACATGGTCTTATACTTAGATAAGAAAAACCATCCACATGGGTGACTACATAGGGAAGATTATTGCCCTATTCAAAAATATCTTTCTTGGCTAGGGGCTGGCCCAGGGGTGCACAGGTTAAGTTCGCACATTCTGCTTCAGCGGCCCAGGGTTCTCCAGCCAGTTAGGATCCTGAATGCAGACCTACGCACCTCTTGTCAAGCTGTGCTGCGGCAGGCATCCCACAGGTAAGGTGGAGGAAGGTGGGTGCGGATGTTGGCTCAGGGCCAGTCTTCCTCAGGAAAAGGAGGAGGATTAGCGGCAGACATTGGCTCAGGGCTAATCTTCCTCAAAAAAAAAAAAAAAACTCTCTTGGTTACTCTTTCAGCAGTTTCTGAAATTAGACATTGACTTTGAGGGCAATTATCCCATTAAACTTCAAATAGCCCCCAAACAGGACAACATAGAAAGACACTGTCAACCATTCACATTTTGGTACGAATTTCTTTATAATACTGCTTCTCAGAGAACTATTTAGAGAAAATGGTTTGGAAAGTAGAAATAAGGAAGAAGTCATCCATAGAATAGAAAATTTTAAGTTCAGGGCAGTACAAAGGCAATAACTTTTCTTTTTCTAAGCCACAAATGAAGGATGGAAATCCATCAAGAAATCTTCACCTATTAGCTAAGCTGTTCGTGAAAACTATAAGGTCTGAATTAACTCGATCATAAAAAACATGTCCACTTAAATTGTTGCCCCATAGAACTACTCTAGTCTGAATTTATTTTGTAGAAGGATGAACTCAGAGGAGGCCTGCTCAGATTTTATGTTCTGACAATTTAATTTCCTCACTTCAGCCTTGGGGCAGATGTGGCTAGTTGCCTACTCAATATCCTTCTTCACTTCTGCTCTATCAATAGGACTGTGACTTTTCAGAGATGCAAGCAAACTGTCAAGCTAAAAACACTTGTTTTCTCAGACTCCATGGCATCCTAATCATGTGGCCCAGTCCTGCTCTATGACATGTAAAAGGCCATCTGCTGGAATTGATGGGAAAGCTGTTGCTTTCCAGCCACCATCCACTCCCGACTCCCTCTTTACTCCTTTATCTTTCCTTTTTGTCTGATGAAGTATTAGCATAATACATGGCAGCAAACATCTTTCTTACAATCATAAGATGCCAAGTTTGAGGGCAAAAACCTATAAACTTTCTGGCAGAATAGAAAGACTGAAAGAATTAGGTTCCTAGTGGGATTATTGAGCTGCTCCACCCATCCTGTACTGTATACTCCCAAACTTCTTGTTGCAGAAGACAAAGCCCTGTCTGTTAGGGCTACTGAGGCAGCTTTCTGTTATTTGCAGCCAAATATATCCCCAACAGGCCCTCTTGGACTCTGTTCTGACCATACACAAATATCAGATCAGAACAGATATCAGTATATCCTTTATTAAAACTTGCTTCAAGTTCTATCCTCTGGGTTTCTGAGCACACATACATAGACAAATAAACTCCACTGTGATAAACACATTACTCGTTCAGAGCTGTGTTCTCTCTCTGACATGTCACAAAGCATTGATTTCTTTCCCGCATTCAACACAATGTAATCAACAATATGTACTGAATGCCTATTATAGTCTAGTCACTAGTGATACAATAGTGAACAAAATATATAAAATCTGTCCATTATTAGAGCTTATATCTAGTTTCCATAAAGAATATATTGTTATCTAAGAAACATGATCTTTGATAGCAGTGGCAGTAACTGAATATTTCACTCTTCAACAGGTTAGCCTAGTATCAAACAGAACTCAAAACATCCCTTCCATATAGGTTCAAGAATATAGTTTCTAAAGCAGAAAATATCACCCAAGTCAGGAGAGAAATTTAAAACAGGAGAGCCATGAACGAGTTCTGCGAAACTCAAATTAACAAAAAAGTCCTGTCTGAGCAAAGAGCTTTTAGACATCTACAGTTTTACATTTTTCCCTTTCATTGGCCTTAATTCTTATATTTGTCTGAAAAATGTAGGGGTGGGTGGGAAACAACCCTTCCTGGTGCTTAATAAACTGTGTTTGTGTGTTAGACACTGTAGGCAGTATTTGGAGAAGCAGCAAGCTTGCAAAAGATTTAACCAGCCAGGCTTCCCAACTTCACGACAGCTTAAATTATCTGCTCCAAACTGCCAGTCACATATTTCTTGAGGCCAGCCTTTAGACTTTTCGTGGGTGGGATTTCAGGAGCATCTGATGTTTAGGGACCAGCATTCTTTGTGCATTTAGTTAAGGACTGATTTTACTTTGCCTTGTCCCCCATGGACACAGCATTCTTGGACTGGTCCTGAGTGTTCCCCTGGCTCCATAATGCATGATGTTCTTATGGAGACAGCTGATTTGAGAAGAGGCACAATGTATAATAATCCTGCATAAATTATAAGGAACTGGAGTGGGACCTGGGCTACAGTAAGTCATTCATGAGTACAACTAAGAATGCTCAAGGCTGGATGCACTATATTTTCCACCAGCTCGGCTCCCTGCTATGATTTAGCTCTAATAGGATACACATGCTGTTTGTTTGTCTTTGTATTGGCAATATGCTTATAATGAATTGTATGGCTTCCACAAGCATACTAAGGATTGAGTGAATTAATTTTCCTGTTTGGTGACACCAGCTTGTCCTATTCCAATGCAAAGTGTCAATGATGTCAGAATTGTACTTGAGCATAAAATATGAACATGTGCGTTTACGTTTGAATATAGGCCTATGGGTTCTTTTTTATTAGACTATTAAACATGTGTGCATATACATACAGACTCCTACATATAAATACGTAGCTTGTTCTTAGAGTGGTCCGTTCAAATCCTGCGCATCGATGAGGTCTACATATGCCTCTGCTTTCCCAGAACACATATTGATTCCACAGGAAATTGATTTAGAAGTAAACTACATGTTCATTCTCTAAAACTTTTGTCTGAAAGTCTAGAAGTAAATACCCTACGCTTCATGAATTGGTCAGGGAGCCAGACTGGAGTAACTATGTCTGTCTTGTGTTCTTGAGGTAGCATGAGGTCATAAATGTTCTTTAGACCATAATGTTGTAGTTTTGAAACAATTATGAAAAAATTTCAATTTCTGAATTTTGTTGATGATGTGATTAAAACGTAATATTGTGTCCTTTGAAGGATTTTGCAGTAAGTCTAAAGGCAGGAGAGATGTTAAGGTTGTGTGTGCCACCTCTCCCCCCCTCACACACATATACTTGGAGATCCACTCTTACTGGTGAGAGTATCTTTAAAAATTACAAGCATATGAAAATGGGGGAAGAATTTAAGAATAATTTTCAAAGTCAAAGTATGAAATAAAACAGTTAAATAAAATAAACATTTCTCAAGTCAATTCAGCTTGTAGTAGATTAAATGCATAGTCTTTTATTAGCTTAAAAGAGAAAAATATTAAATTTTGCTTTATGACATTCAAGTGTTGTGCTTATTATCTTCCCTTCTAACACTGCTACACACACACACTGTCAGAATAAACCTGAAGAAGACAGGTGCAAGTACTCATGATGTTCTGATACAAATTTTAATCACTTTAATATAGATTATCCAGTCACAAATGACATATAGAAATGGGAAAGAGGTGAAACTCCTTCCTGTCTTCTCTAACAGAGAAATAGAATCAAAATATAAGTAATTAATAATTCTCAACTCAGAAGAAGAGGTCAAATGGTGGGATGCTCCTTTGAATAGTAAAATATCAAATCCCAACTGAGGACCAAATAATGCCACCACATTAGACAGTATGTTCTTTCTCTGGGGAATATACATTTCTATGATATTATTATTGATGTTGTTGAGTCTATTCATATTACTGCAACCATTCTTGTTGTTGATTGATATGAAGTTGTTTGGCGTTCAGACTAAGTATCTAGGACTATTGATGAGGCATGATGTAGTCTGAGCAAACCAAACTTCTAAATACATATTCTTGGTTCTGATAACAGATTAATATGGTGAGCTCTCAGAGCTGGTTCCTAGGTTCCCTTTGTTTCTCTTTACTTAATGCCAGTGTGTCTGAACAACAGGTCTGACATAACTCACCATAAGACTCAAGGTTGACGTGCAAATAAACGTTATTTTTCAAGTCAAATTCCATAAAGAGACTAAGAATACAAAAAATATTGCTAATAAATACGAAAAATAACAGCAATGATAACAGTTTTTTTATATTTAACAAATCATTTATAGATATCGGAAAATATCTCCAGTCACTATAAAAGTTTATTAATTTATAATAGAAATGTCTTCATAAGTTAGTCAGAAGGTGGTCAAAACCAAACCTTTACTATGGATTTAAAATCTATCGCTATGCATGGACTTCAAACTTTTATAGATTTACTGGTCTCAGATTTTCTAATATGCCTGTTAAAATTTCATCTTGTGAAAATCCTCCAAAATGTGGCTGTATTATTATGTTGGGAGTGTGGCAACTTAAGAAACAGCTCTGACATTAACACTGCTGTTGGTGTTTTATATTCTTTGTATCACTTACCCCAAACAAGCCTGACAGCTACGTGCCTGGAGCTGGGTCAGGGCAGAGAAGCCTTCTGAGCCAGCTCAATGAGGATGCTGCAAACCCCATTCCGACCTTCCTTCTCCAGCAGTAAGTGGGCTTCCTCTGTGCCACTTCCACCCTTAGAAATTCCAGTCAGTGGGATCCCATAGGAACAGGAAAAAATTTGACTCTCGCCCCTTCTTTCTTCTCACATCTTTTTCTCCTCAGAGTGGCTTTTCAGGCTTTGACGCGGAGAAAGGAGAGGGAGACTTTAAAAACTTGGTACCTTTCAATAAGCAGTTAGACATTCCTTTCAGAAAGTTATTCATAACATTGTTCGTGATAATGCCAATGCTAATGATAAAAATAAAAACTATTTATTGCTTGGTGCTATGGGTCAGTGATTTCTAGACTTTCAAATTTTATGAACCTGAAAACTAATCAACAATAAACAAAACTGAGAAACTGACAGTTACCAACTTTTCGTTTTCCCATGAAAGGTAATTTGAATAAACAATTACTATCCTTTATCACCTTCCTATCAGGAAAAGACAATGTAATACCAAAGTAGCAGGAAGAATCCCTAAATAACACATAGTTTCATATCAAATTGAATAAATTTGGCTTAATAAAATGCTCATTACTACTTTTTGTTTTTATTTTTGTCAGTTCAATAATATCATCACTGACTGGCACCAACTGATATATATCCAAGATATAAGCATATGCCCAATAAGCAGAGAGATGCCCTCTTTTCAGTTAGTGGTGTTTTCCATTTTTCTCTTTGTATTCAATACTGTATAAGTATCTTTCTAGGCTTTGAGGCCTAGAAAGAATTTGATTAGAGTGGCTCACCAAAATCTTGCTTCTCAGAAACAGAGACCATTAGAATTTCAGTGACCTTCCAAATCCACTTGGTCAACGTCTTCATTTTGTAAGTAAGAAAATCAAGGACCAGCAGGACCCAATTTCTAAAGACCACACAACTTTCCTCAGCTACAGGTGTCAGACTCCATCTATCTATGGCCATATGTCACCTTTCAAATTTATAGTCAACATTTGCCTGTCTAATAGGTATTAGATACATTTACATGTTATTTCAGCTATGCTTATGGTTCAGTTAACCTTTTGTTATGGAAGTTAGTATCCCATTTTGCAGGTAAGAAAAATAAAATCAATATGTAACTAACCCAAGCTCATACTACTAGGAAGTGGTGGAGCGGCCATTTAGTGAGATCTTCTCTAAGTGAAATGTTTCTTATTATTTACCATACAATTAGCAGGTATTTATTGAGTGTATCCATGGGCTCAGCACTCTGATTAGTACTACAGCATCTGCCAGCTAGGTTGAAGATCTTAGGGCTGTCACAAGAAGAAAAAGGGATCCCCTTGAGCTTCAACTGCTCTCTTCTATATATTAGAAGAGAGAGTGAAGATAAATCTATTTTAATAAGAGTAATCCAGTGTGGTACATGTCTAGGAATACAGGGTGACTCAGATGGATGCCCCTTCCAGACCCTGATATACTAGCTCTGAACCTCTTGATTCCAGGCCACACTGATGGCTCCTTCCCCCCAATTTTGCATCATTTCCTACCCCTAGTTAATTCTTTGTGTCGTCCCTCATGATAGCTACTGTATTGTTGAATTAAATTATGGTATTTTATGTCACTATTTGTTTTCATATGCTTTGACGAAGTGCCTTACTCTCCTCACCCTATTGCCAGCCCTGTGCTTAAGTCTCATTTCCCCTTGAGGACAAAAATCAAGAACCATTTTTATACGCACAGTCCTTTAAAGTAGAGGCTCAGAAATTATTTATTAATTGCTCTTGTTTTGGTTGAAAGTGCCAGGAGTATGCAAATTGTGCAATAGACAACATTTGTTTCCAGCTGTATTGTCTTATCTCTTCTTTCAATACTTTTCCTCCTCTTTATGTCACTCTCTGCTATGCCTGCACCCCCAGCCCAAAAGAAACTAACCCCTTAATGCTTCCTACTAGATAAACTTTTGTAGCCCTTTCTAGAAAATTAGTCTCCCCTCGGATTAAAAGTCAAATTCCTTTTGTGTCCTGATCTCAGTTACATGTCACCTGTCACAGAAGTTGAGATGAAAAGCTAATTAGTACTAAATTATGATGCCTAGAAGAAGTAATTCATAAATCTGTTAACAGAAGCATTAGGTTATAGCTGGGGATATTTGGAGACACAAGACTTGAATCTACTTACTCAACTTTTAATTAACACTTGAGTATGCATTATGGTTCTCAACTTTTTCACCATTAAGTAAAACTTTCATAATTCATAATTCATTCATTATACACCATGGCCCCTGCATTTTGAAATATTTTATTTATCAAACAAAATTCATTTTAAGCTATATTTGGTTTCCCATTTTATTACACATACACATCTATTAATCAAAGTTTCCAGTTATGATGAAGTAACCAGTATATAATCTTAACTGGTAGAATTCTAGCCCAAAGCCAAGAAACTCATTCTTTTAAACAGTCTGTGCAAACCTATCACTACAGATTTTAGAATATTGACAGTAAAACAGATGGATTCCCCAATATTATCATCACATCCCTGGTGGTCCAGCAAGCCCAGGTTTAGAATCACTGGTGGAACACTCACTGTACACTGAGCTTGGCGCTAAATCCTAAAAATATGAAATTAAATAAGCCAAGGGCCTTTCCTTGGTATGCTCAAGGTCAACTTTCTGATATGGGGGAGCTTGGCTTTTGAACGCACAACACCTGCCAGGATTTCTCAACTCTCAGAGATTTATTCTGTTTATTTTTTGACCACCTAGGGCTCTCCTGAGGACAGAGCACCTAAGCACTGTTATCTTTAGCTATCTTTAGCACTGTGCATTATTGAGGTACTTTCTGCCCAGCAGGGGATCTAGCAGCTGCTCCCAGGATGAAACTAAACAAGAAGGCAGCAGAGTGTGAGGTTAAGATCATATACCTGAAGGTGGACTGTTCTCTGGATTTGATCCCAGCTCTTCCACTTTTGAGCTAAGGGATTTAGGGCAAGTCTTTAACCCTCTCTATGCCTCACTTTTCTTATTTGAAAACAGAAATAACAAGAGTACTTACCTCACAGAGTTTTATGAGGATTAAATGATATCATTTATGAAAAGCATTTATCACCTTATTGGCACATAGCAAGTGCTTAACTTTCATCTATTATTATTATTATTATTTTATTATTATTAAAGGAGAAAAGAAGAGAAATAGAAACATTAGGATACTTCTTGCCTCTTCTAGCTTCTAGAGAGCCTATGCATTCCTTGGCTTGTGGTCCCCTCCCATCTTCAAAGCCAGCAATGGCCGGTCAAATCTTTCTCACACTGCATCTCTCTAACACTGACTCTTCTGCCTCTCTCTTCCATATTTAAGGATCCTTATGATTACATTGGGCCCACCTGGATAATCCAGGATAATCTCTCCCCAGATCAAAGTCTGTTGATTAGCAACCATAATGCCACCTGCAACCTTAATTCCTCTTTGCCATGTAACCTAACATATTCAGGGGTTCCAGGGACTAGGAGGTGGGAATTGTTGAAGGGCCACCATACTGCCTACCACAAGAATGCGCTGACTGCATTCTGCTCTAGCTCTTCATGCTTACAGAACCCAAATAGAATAGATCTAAATTTTACATTTTCATATATATGGGTAATTAATTAACACCATTAATGAAGATTACTTCTGAAGTCCAGTTAGAAAGCAGCTCTCCTCATTTACTAACAATTTGGGAAAACTGATTAACCTTTATAGGCAACAACCCCCTCATTTTAAATGAGAATCATAATATCTACCTCATATTATTCTTGTGAGAATTAAATGAGTTAATTTACGTAATGAATTTAGGATGACACAAAATGAGCAGTCCATAAATTTAGTTATTATTAGTCAGTTGTATGATCTATATATAACCTCTTAAATTTATACATGGTTTTATATATTCATTAGTCATTATCAACTCACCCATTTATTCAGTCCATTCATTGATCCACCAGCATTTATTGCACATGTACCGCAAACTGAACAGTGTACTACACGTAAGAGGAATAACAAAAATACTTTACAATTGTAAAGCACTTTGCATTTTCACCTCCTTATCTTACCGGACCCTACTTAGAAGAAATGCTTCCTGCCCTTAGGAACGTATAGTCTCCTTGAGAAAACAACAGGGTACATGCAAATTCAGACAAACACCATTGGTATTGAAGTTTTGCAACATTGAGAATGGGCGCTCATTCAGGCCTGAGATCATTAAGAGGAAGCGTATGGAGTAGGGAGCACTACACTAGAGAATGATACAGTGCCCACCACCTCAGCCTAGATTGGGGTCTTCTCTCATAAGAGGCTGTGAAGACCAGACTCAGCAGGTTAATGAAGTCCCAACAGTTCAAGAGAAAAGGAACAACCACCAAAGCAGGCAAAGGGGAAAACAATCTATGGTGTGGGGGCTGTAATACTCCATGAGTGCCTCCACCAAACAGTTCAATCCACTCTACAAATTTCCAGATTTATGCTTTTTCCAAATAAAGAGTGGTGGAAAGCTCAACACAAAATTATTTGCACAAAATTTCCTCAGGTGGTAACCTGAGAAAATTTTATGGGGCCAGCACTGTGCCTCCTTCCCCAGAGTTGATACTTTGATATATCCACTTGTTGTTTTGTAATCATTGACTTGATAGTCACCTCACACCTTAGAGGACAGGGTAGGGGGAGTTTGGACAGTACTGCCCAAAATAAAGAAAAGACTAATAGAAAATAGGTAGAATGGAGGATCCCAAAAAGAAACAGTAAATAAAGGCACAAGACAAGAATTTCAGCTTGAGTGTTCCATTCCTTCCACTAATTTCTTGAGTCTGGTTGCCCATTGGGAGCTTTGCTCCCAGGCAGATTTCTGGGAAGAGAAAGCCACCATTTGCTCACTTTACCCTGGGGCCACCCAGCTGCCAAGTGTCAGCTGAACAGAGGTGCATCAGAGGCCTGCAGTCAAAAGGCAGCAGGATGGCCAATTGCCACGAATTTCTGCAGCAAGTCTGGCATCTTGGCATCTTTCTGCTCTCCCCCTCCCCTAGGTTAATTGCTGAGAACCTAGGAAGCTGCTTATGCTACCAACTTCAGCTGCTTCCCTCCTTTCCCCATACCACTCTACTGCCTCACCTCCTTACACCCCAGAAGTGAAATGAAGTCTCTCATATACCTGGTTCTGCTTGTG